AAACAAAACAAAACAAAACAAAACAAAACAAAACAAAACAAAACAAACAAACCCACCCACCCACCCACTCACGCAGGCTGACACACGCAGCGTAAGGGAACATATATATATATATATATGTATGCTTATTTTTACATGCATGCATATGTATACGATTATCGATAAATTTGTTATAATCTCAAAGGCACACACACACAAAGCCGTTGCCCGTGTTTCGCGGAAGAAGGGTGTGGCACGCCTGGGCTCGCCCAGGTGTTCCATCTCCGGCCAAGGTTTCGGGCTCCAGTGGCCGCCGTAACCCATCTCCATGGCGAGCAAGTCCGCCTGAGACGAAGCGATGCCTACGGGCGGAACCGTCACGGTGCCGAAAGTGGATTGATGGATGTGCATCTTGGGAGATCGGTGTGGTACGGTTTTTGTTAACTCCATGTGGCTCGAAGAAGCGCATAGAACAAGTCTTCGACCATAGACTTGTTATCTCTTCCCATCAATCCTTTCTTACAAAATAAGTACAGCTGCACGCAGCTACGTGCTTCTTTTGTATTTCTATGTACTAACTTGGTAGAGGCCTCCTGATCGAACTGCTGCCCTGGTGGCGCTTTCTTCAAGTGAACGCCGGTACTTTCCACCGTCAGTGAAACAGGCCGCTGGGTGCCGTTCTCGGGGTTCTCAGGGAACCGTCATGAGTGGGACCGTGAATCACAGCCTGCTGGTGGCTCTGGCAGATAGGACAGCTTTGAATCCAAATGAATCCAACTGGGATCCATGAACTTGAGGAATCTTTCTCCCAATATGTTCCAATCAATGGATCGTTTGCCATAATTACATCCGCTACGGACGAATGCCATTTGACCTGTACGTAGATCCTACATCCGACCCCCTGACAGGTCTGGTTTTCTTGCACGCTTTGAGTCACCAAGGCTGGCAGCCTAGGCGGTGAGACACACCCCATCGACTCATGAAAGCGGAAACTCAAAGGATGCGCTTCCTCGGCAAGGACCAGAAAACCCCACCGCACCAGGCCACAGAAAAATGTCTCCCAATCCTGTCGGGGAATCACTAGGCCAAGGTGGCCAAGAGCAACCACTGTAGTAGATGAATCGATCAAGTTTCAGAACAGGTCGCGCAATGGGTCCGTACATGTCTGCATGTCGTCCTACACCCGATCTGCCAACAAAGACGATTCATCAATCATCAATCCATCAACAAAGGAGTCAGTCCTAACAAGCCAAAACGCAATGCAACAACACATAACACTCATCATTTGAACATGAAAACTCTTCACCCTACAACAGCTAATCATCCAAATGCCACTGATTAGTCACTATATAGTCGTATTTTTCCGGTGAGGCTCCCCGAATCCCCAAGCAGCCGCCCAGGTCAGCAGCGAACGAAACAGCACCCTCACCTGCGGGAATTCCCCAGAGTTCAAACAGGCGCAGGGGGACCATCGACAACGACAGGATGAGCTTCAATGAACAGCTTGAAGCTCAACATAGCTCAACCATGCAAAAACGTCTGCTTTTTGAAAACATTTTGTTCCTTTCTAAAATGATCATGAATCATGGATGTATACAGGAATAAAGTTTGTCTTCACAATACGTTTCTATGAATTTTGCTGGGGGTGTTGGTAGCAAAGCCTATAAGTCTAACTGAGAAGCAAAGAACAAGTCACGTCGATGAGTCTCAAACTTTTAAGCTTAAATCATCTCACTGCATGGCCTTGCTTGACGCTGCTTGCACACCACCAGCAAACCACCTATATAACCCATGCACCCATAGAATTCCGTGTCAGCAAACTACCGGCCGCAAATTGACGCACCGCGGCATCACGACGCTCCGCTGCACCGCTGGCGCCTAGGCGGGCACCTTTTGCACGGCCGCTGCCACCAGCTCCGCGGCCTTCTCGGCGGTCAGCACTGCTGTGGCCTGGAGATGGCAAGGTTTGTCCATCCCTGGAGCCCTTGTCTGGACTGTTAATTGAGCTAACATCTCCATATGGTTTATCAACAGTCATATATAATATTAAGATCCAATGAAGAACCTCCCCTTAGGCCCTCTTAAAAAAGTTCCTGACAAAGGAAGGTGTTCAAAGGCTTTTCATCCAACCCATGCAATACACCATCATACACATAAGCCTGACAATGACATGATACAGTGTTGCTGTAACATTTAACAATACCACTTCCAAGCTGAATGCCATACTTCTTCGCAATTCTCGACAAAACTCATCGCAAGGCCCTATTCGCACTCCATTGCATCGTTGCATTGACAGCCGTTGACAGCAATCTGGACCAAAAATACAGGCCTTGTCTTGGATCAAGTCGAGGATACCTTGCTAAGTCAAGATACCATGAGGCGAGGTTCAAAGCCATCGACACTGAAGCATGGTGGGAACGGTTGTATATGGTTTTATCCACCTGCAACGCCTCTCCCGCTTGAGGTGTTTGATCAACTCACACCTTGTTAGGGATATTCATGACGAACGCCTACAGAGGCACAACATGCACCTGTTGCAACAGGTCACTCTGCAGAAATTTGATACCTAAATTCAGGAGAACGCATGAACACCTAAGCCCTAAGCCTCTCCGACACCCAGTATTTGGCGACCCCGACTATAGTGCAGCAACCAGTAACAGTGGATGATGATGGTTGGTAAAGGCCTTTCTCGAACATATATGTCATAGTGACATTTTTTTTAAACCATGTTTAACCGACTGGGCCACACTCGTTATGGGCCACACCTTATAACTTGTCTTAGGGACATACCGACCCGCCGTCATTCATGGTGCTCATTCATTCGTCTGAAAACGTCTCCCGGTCCCAGTCTACCGGGCAAGTTGCGTTGGAAGCACTTCACCTTAGGATGCTCTGGCACTGCATGGCGCTGCCCAGCCGGTGCGTTCCCCCTGCCACCCCAATGAGATGAACTGCATGGGCTGTTTCCAAGTCAGAAGGAAGGGGCTACAACTTCCGCTTTGCCCGCCATACCACAAGACAAATCAAGACAAAAAAGGCTGACAACATCTTAGGATTTGCTTCAGCAACCCGAGAAACATGAAAAGCATATTTCCCCCAGAAGGATTCATTCACCCAGTTCGGGAAAATAGAAATCCAACCGACCAGCAAAACCTGGACATACACCAGCTGAACGAGGTTCCCATGAAGTTCTCATCGGATACCGCATACTTTGTGTGATGCTACAAAACTGTCCGTTCACCCCGCTCACCCCGGAAATCCCGGTGGACTCATGGACAGCATATGACTTATGACACCATATGACTACACATATACACACACCCACTCCCTGAAACAATATTACAGTAATCATAGAAAAGGAATATGGCGCCTGGAAGGACAAGGACTCAGGACTATTTCCTCTACAAACAGGGAGTTATCCAGTTGCACGTTTGTTGGACGGGGGGTAAGCTAAAAGCTCCATGCCACGTACTCAGACATCACAGTGCACGGTCTCAGTGATCCAGACTTGCAGACTTCTTGTTGCATCAACATATATAGTGGAATGAGAGTAGATGGCACAAACCCCAAGATGTCTTTTAGATGGGGATCCATATAAACCACCTTTTGGGGATTGTGCCATCTACACTGAAACCACTGTCATCAGGAAAGCATGGGCACCAATTCTCATTGAGCAGGTGAATGCGCTAGACACTCTAAAGGATCAGTTCCCCCCTTCACATCTCAGCTCCCCCAAGAGCAGCTTCTCACAGTCATACATTCCCAGAGCAATACCAGCAGCTCTTGTTTGCTACTAAGAGTTGCTTGGCTTATTTTGTTTAAAGGGTCTGCTGACTCCACTGAAAGGTCCAAGCCACTTTGTCATGGCCTTCAAAGACTAACTTCTTTCCGTTTGCCGCCATCTGCTGACGCCCAGATTCATCCAAGGCTGCTATCCTCAAGGCGATTCTGTCTGGACGAACCTCCACTTCAGACATGACATGGCCCTTCCAAAATGGACATTTGCAGTGCGTCGCTGTGCTCGTCTCCGGAAAAGATTCCCAGCAGCAACTCGAGAAAACACCGATCATTCCAATGGGATCCTGTCATTCCCCCGGGCGCATGTTGATCAAATCACCGATCAAAAACACCCCAGATTGGACAACATCCCCAGCTGGCTCCACTTTTGCAGCGGATGAATGAAGATCCGTTGCAGTGCTTGCTATTGTGGTGTTGACTGGGATGTTCCAGCGGAACAAACACATGCGCAGGGTCTCTACTCTTTCGATCGCCCAAATTGACATGCCTTGAATCACAAGGTGCCCGATCCAGCACGCCGGCTGGCTGGGAGGGCCATCAAATCCGCGAACTGTAACTCCAGCTCAGACGTTGAATCGATTTTCCGTTTTCTCACCAGCCTACAACCCTGCATTTGTTTGGGGGGAGCTCCCTCCTTCGCGTCGATTCGCCTCCAATATATCGTTCCGAGGATCTTGGCAATGGCTTCAGCACAGCCTTCCGCCATGGCATCCCAAGTGCTCTCATCATCCACCTCGAGGCCCATGCATTCTTTACAAAAGCTCTTGGATCGCGGCTCCACCCCCACCTTCCCGCTCACGGCGGGATCCCCGAGTTCGGATGGATCCCCGAGGTACGAAGGAGAGGACGAGGCGATTCCGCGATGCCGAAGCCCCAAAAGGTGCCTTTCCAGCTTCAAAGCAGTAGCCAGTCTCGCCGTCCACCACCACCTTGGAACATTTGGAACATGAAGCCGAACTCGACTCGAGGCGAGGTAGGCAGTGGCGGTTCTTCAGACCACAAGCCGAAGCAACCAGGAACTTCCAAAAGTGTCACCAGTGCTACTCACGCAATGTTTCATTACTTCCAGCAATTACTTATTCCTGTCAGTGGGAGGTCCCACAATGAATCCTTGGTTCATTCATGTTCCAGTGGATGCAGCTCCTACAAAATGATTCAATGCTATATATACAGTAACAATATCCAAGAATCTGAAGCTACAAAGCCGCATGATCTATGTTATTTAATGATATATGATGGCTCATTCTCAACATCTCTTCGCAACAACTTGACCCCACAAAGGGTTGGCTGACCACCCCGCAACAACTTGACCCCATAAAGGGGTTGGTTGACCACCCCCCTCACGCTTTCGGCTCAGTTTTTCCACCCACCTCGGGCATGCCATAGATCCTGGAGGCCACGCAGGGTTTCTCCATCGCCAACGCCTCCAGCAGCGCATTCGGAAGGCCTCCAGCAGCGACATCAAATCATGGGATTCATCGTCTTGAATTTAAGGATCCAACTTATGGCTTCAGTCGATGTTCTTTCTTCGAGAAGGGACTTTCGGC